GCCAACTGAGGGGTGGAGACGACGGCAGCAGCGGCTACGGGATGCAAGGGAGCCGACGTGGCAAAGGACGTGGCTTCGGTGGTGCTGGACGCGGTGCAAAGAAAGACGACGACTCCAACGACCAACAAGGAGGTACCGGTTGGGGTCGCGGTGCGAAATCTGGACGTGGGGGCAAGTCGGGTGCTGGTGGCAAAATGAAAGGGAGTTGCTGGTATTGTGAGAAGGAAGGGCACCCCTGGTTTTTGTGCTATAAGAAACCCGATGGATGGACCCCCCAGAATCGTCACCAGGATGGCGGCGCGCGGAGGAACCAGAAAAACGGTGCCAACATGATCGCTGATTCGTCCGACAACAACCCAAAGGGCAACGGCGGTGCGGAGAAGAAGAAGGAGCGCACCGCGGGCCAATTCTTCCATATGGGAGACAAGGGGGAGCAAGGAGACGCATCTGCTAAGGCTGGAGCAGAGCTGCACCCCCTGGACTATTGGGTGTTGGACACAGGCGCTGCTTGGACAATGACGCCGCGCAAGGACCTGCTGGACGACGTACGCGCTGCACCGATTAATGAGGTGTGCTCTGCCTCTGGACACATGTTGAAGGTGGCTGGTGCGGGACGAGCTGCATTTAAGGGAGCGGATGGCAAGCCGGTGGTGCTGCACGACGTTCTCCTCGTCCCCGACCTGAAGGCCAACCTCATCTCCCTCCGTAAGCTTGGCAAGGCTGGGGTGAACACCAACACGGATGGGGCTCGCACTTATAAGGGGAAGCTGGGCAATCGGGTGCTTTGGGATCTGCACGAGAGCAAGGACGTGTACAGATCCATGTGGCAGCTGCCGGCGCTGGCGTGGCATGGTGAGGGGCAGGCTAGAGAGGGGTCTGCATCCCAGGGGGAGTGCAACGCCGTTGGAGGGGTTGGTGTGAAAGTGTCGGCCAGATCTGGGGAGACGGATTGGGCAACGGCACACCGACGCTTGGGGCATGTGGCAATGCCTTTGCTGAAGCAGCTGGAGAAGGATGGAGCCGTTAAGGGCTTGAAGCTGAACGGACAACCACCCGATGATAACTGTGAAATCTGTTTGCTCTCAAAGTTTACCCGTTTCCCCTTCCATAGTGTGGCTGGCAGGAGCAAGAAGCCGTTGGAGCTGGTCCACATGGACTTGGTGGGGCCGCTGCCGGTTCAGGGACACAAGGGGGAGCGGTACTTCCTGACCATTGTGGATGATTGGAGCAGGCTTATGTGGGCATATCCGCTGAAGCAGAAGGACCATGCCGCCTCTACGATACGGGAAGATTGGCTGCCATTCGTGGAGAAGCAAGCGGAGTGTGTGGTGAAGCGGATTAGGACAGATCGGGGTGGTGAGTTCCTTGGAGCTGAGATGACGGCCTGGCTCAAGAAGCAGGGCATCCAGAGGGAGCTGACCACGGCTTACACCCCACAGTCTAACGGTGTAGCAGAACGGGCGAACCGGACAATTCTGGAGACAGCTAGGGCGCTGCTCATAGAATCTGGGCTGGGCAACTCCATGTGGCCCCATGCTGTTCGGCACGCTACCGTCGCTAGGAACAGGGTACTCACAAAGGTTGGGGATGACTCGTGGGTGCCGTTGGAGAGGTGGCTTGGGAGGAAGCCGCCGGTGGACATGCTGAGGGTGTTCGGTTGCATGGCAGTCGCCCACGTCCCCAAGACCTACCGCAGTAAGTTGGGGGCGAGTGCAATCTGGTGTGTGCATTTGGGGCTGGCTGCTGAGAGCAAGGGATGGCTGCTGTGGGAACCCTCCAAGGGTGTGTTATTTGACAGCAGGGATGTGAAGTTTGTTGAGGGCATGATGTATGGGAGCTGGGAGAAACAGCCGGAGGCCAGGGTGTCCCAGCAGATGGAGCAGATCACCATGCAGCTGGACCTGACTCCTAGTGTGTGGGAGGAGGGAGAGGAGGCAGCTGCAGAGGGTGGTGATAAAGAGAAGGTGCAGGAGGCACCTGCTGGTGGAGGTGATGGTGTGGAGATTAGCGGTAGCACTAGTGGAGCTGCTGGATCCGAGGGAGGAGAGCAGCAGCAGGGGAAAACTAAGAAGCCGAAGGGTGTTATTATGAAGGGATGGGAGACACCCGTCTCCAGGCCAGGACGTACCCGTATGGCTACTAAAAAGCTGACTGCAGGAGCTGATGTAGCGGAGCAGCAGCTTGGGACCGAGGAGGCATTGCTGATTCTACCGCATGGCTATGACCCGGATGAGGAGGATCAACCTGCGTACTGTTTTCTTGCCCCTGCACCAGAGGAACCAGCTAGCATGGAGGAGGCATTAGCTGGACCAGATAGGGACAAATGGCTAGCTTCCAGGGATGCTGAATACCAGAGCCTGCTGGAGAATGGGACTTGGGAACTAGTGGTGCTGCCTGAGGGAAAGAAAGCGGTACAATGCAAGTGGGTGCTAAGGATCAAGACTGACGACAAGGGGCAGGTCACCATCTACAAGAGTAGGTTGGTGACTAAGGGGTTTATGCAGAAGGAGAAGCGGGACTTCAATGAGATCTTTGCTCCCACTGCCAAACCCCCTACCCTTCGTGTCTTGTTGGCAGATGCAGCCGTTAGTGGGAAGTTCATTATCCAGATGGACATATCAACGGCATTTCTCAACGGGATTTTAGAGGAGGAGGTGTTCATGACGCAGCCACCTGGGTATGAGGATGGTACGGGCAGGGTGTGCAAGCTGAAAAAGTCCATCTACGGCTTGAAGCAGGCGCCACGCTGCTGGTACCAGAAGTTGGCAGCTGTTTTAGAGGAGATGGGATTCAAGACCAGCAGCTGTGATGAGAGCCTCTTTCTCAAGGGGGAGGGGGAGAAGCTGGTGCTGTTTCTGGTCTATGTGGACGACATTCTTCTCTTTAGCAGCAGCATGAAGGAGATCCAGAAGGTGCAGCAGCAGCTGATGGAGAACTTCAAGTGCAAGAACCTTGGGGAGGTAAAGTACTACCTCGGGATGCACGTGGAGAGGGATCTGGATCACAGGTGGTTGAAGCTGCACCAGGAGAAGTTCATCAAGGAGCTTGGGGAGAAGTACGGAATTGAGAATGAGCGCAAGGTTGCAACTCCCCTGCCAGCAGAATTCAAGCTTGTGAAAGCTGCAGAGGATGAAGGGGTTGAAGCCGAGGAGCAGCAGCAATTTCAGTCCTTGGTGGGCAGCCTCTTGTATGCAGCAGTTCACACGAGACCCGACATCTCTTTCTCGGTTGGGCAGCTGGCTAGGGTAGTGCAGAATCCATCAGAGGAGCAGGTGGATGCAGCTGAGCGTGTGGTGAAGTATCTGAACTCTCACCCAAGCATTGGAGTTCAATACTCCGCATCTGCACAGGTGAAGCAGAAAGGGGTTGAGGTGCTGAAAGAGAAGGGGGAGAGGCTTGGAGAAGGCAAGTTTTTTCTCACTTGCTTTACTGATGCTACGTGGGCCTCTGAGAAGGAGGATTCCTCATCTGTGGGAGGATACATCTGCGTAGTTGGGGGAGGACCAGTTAGTTGGAGGTCAAAGAAGCAGACGGAGACAGCACTCTCTTCCGTGGAATCAGAGTACATGGCGATGTTCCATGGGGTGAAGGAGGTGATTTGGCTGAGGAGGCTGTTGGAGGAGATTGGCCAGGAGCAAAAGGTTGCTACGCCGCTGTTTTGTGATAGCAAGGGAGCTCTTGGGATGGCCAGGAACGCTGTGCTTCATGGGCTGAATAAGCACATGCGTATCAAGTGGCACTGGCTGCGTAAGGAGGTGAAGAGGGGGACGGTGAATCCGATCTACATCAAGACTCACCAGCAGCCAGCAGACTTCCTCACCAAGAGGCTTGCGGATGAGCCTCATTGGCGTTGTGTGCGCATGAGTGGAATGAGCATGAACTAGTATGGAATGATGGGGATGCAGCCGGCAGGCTGAGGGGGAGTGTGTTGGGTGCAAATTCACATTGCACGACATCCTGCCGTCTGTTTGTACGAGTATGCGTGTGCGAATGCATTTGCGTGTGAATGGTATGCTTGTGTGTTTGTTTGCTTTCGCAATTTTCGCTTGAAGCATTTGCAGGTACTCGCACAATGTGCGCTTCGGCATAACATTGTACGCGCTATGAACAGTACAAGCAGAAAGGACGAGCTCGCAAAGGAACCCAAGATGGAAGCTTTGCGGTTCAACTTACTTGATTGCGCAGATTCAGTTCTATCCAACTCGAAATTGTACTGTTTTGTTTGGTTGACTATAGTGTAGCAAGGCAGGCACTATAGGGGTACAATTTAGGTGAAGGTTGGATGTTGTTTGTCTGTATCTGCATGCTACAGGGCCAGGGGAAACCAGCGGAACCAGCATTTGGCTGGTTGGGCAAAGACAAAACAGGTTCTGTTTTTAGGACCTGAACCTGGTTGTTGTTTTCCCAGGTTGAAAAAACAGAACCAGAGGTTGTTCACCAACCTACCACCTGCTATTTTGTCCAGCCAGGTTGGTTCTGTTGCTTGGAATTATTTGGGATGATCCCTGGTTGTTCCCAGGTTCATTCCCAAGGTCCTTGCTAGCTAGAACTATTTATTCCTTCTCTGTTTGTACCTGGATATAGTGAAATTGATTCAAGCGAATTCCTTCCTTGCTGGAATTTCTTTTCTACGCGGTGCGACGGCGGAATGCTACGCGAGTCAACGCTAGTACGCTAGCACTCCAACGCTAGGCTAACGCTGTCCGAGCCATAACTTCGTAATGGCAGAACTTTTCGCGAGGCAACTTGGCTTATTTTAAAGCTCTTAGAGTGAGCTTCGATATTGAAAATTCTCAGCTTAATCCGATCGACGGTCTGCACGATACGCTGCGCGACGTTCAAGGTACTCTTGCTGTTTTGACTAAGTCCCTCTTGATCCCTCTCTCTACAAACTCGGACCCGAGGATAGGGGCTGGTCTTGTACCAGGCACCCAAGGACCCTTGGAGGTGACCCCGAGGAGAGGTTTTAAGTGTGATAAAGTCTTAATAGCTTGAGTTTATTAGGCCCTTACACCAACACCACCCCCGCCACCACTCCCACCACCACCCCCACTCCCTCTACCTCCTCCACCTCCACCTCCACCGCCCCCGCCAGCCCCTCCAGCGCCCTTGCCCCCCTTGCCCTTGTCGGTGAGGCGTCTCCCGCTAGGGGCAGACGCAGCGCCGACCGACTCGATGCCAACGAAGTCGACGGCAGGAGCAGAGGCAACAGAGGGAAAAAGGGGGGAGGGTGAGCACGCCTCAAAGACAGGGGCACGCGGGTCACCTCTAGAGGCTTCTACAGCGACTATACTCTTCTCAGCTGCCAGGAGGCACTCCTCGAGGAGGTCAATAGTGAGTGTTGTGGGGCAAACAGAGAGGAAGTGGTCCCTGACCGAGCGAAGGGAGTCAGGGAGCTGGGTGACTATGTAGTAGAGGGTGATGTACATGGGGGGGGGGGGGGGGGTTCTTGGCGCAGAATTCAGTAGGATGCGCAGCGCGGTAGCGAGTGTCACTAGTGCGAAGATACGTAACTAGGTCAGCGATAGTGGGAAAGGCGGCGAGGTCAGGAAATAGGTACGGCAGTATGAGGCGGCTAAGAGCGGCACTGGCAGGGGAAGAGTAGCGTGCAACTACAGCATCGTACAAGGTCTTAGCACTCTTGTACTGACTAAAGTGCGCACGCTCAGCAGTCGGTAAGTGGCCACGCATAGCAAGATGGGCAGCAGCATCACGTGTGGCCCATTGTGAGCGAATAGTGCTGTCAGCATCAGCAGGCGGGGCAGGAGAGGCACCAGAGGTTTAGATCGAAAAGGGAGAGTCCGTCTGCCCAATCGCACTATAGGAAAAACTGCAGGTCATCAACCCAGACCTCGAAGTCAACAGCACGACCCTCAGCATCAAAGGTAAGGACACTGGGGGTAGCCATGACAGCACTGGTCTAGCAGGGAGTGCTCTCACCAGACCGGGTGGGTAGGGCCGGTGTGCGCCGGTAGGAACAGTAGCGGCTTGACGGCGTCTCAGCGGCAGCGGCTCGGTAGTGGCGACTCGACGGTGGCCTCGGCGGCTCGGTGACTCAGCGGTTTGGCTGCTGGGCGGCTTGGCTGCTGGGCGTCTCGGCTGATGGGCGGCTCGACTGCTGGACGGCTCGGCTGCTGGGCGGCTCGGCTGCTGGGCGGCTCGGCTGATGGGGGGCTCGGCTGCTGGGCGGCTCGGCTGCTGGGCGGCTCGGCGGTTCGGCTGCTGGGCGGCTCGGCGGTTCGGCTGCTTGGCAGCTGAAGGGGCCGTGAAGGGCGGCAACAGGGCCACTAGAGGCGGCGACGCGGCCGCGTAGGGCGGCGACGGGGCCATGAGAGGCGGCGACGGGGCCGCAAAGGGCGGCGACGGGGCCGCTAGGGGCGACGACGGGGCCGCTAGGGGCGGCGACGGGGCCGCTAGGGGCGGCGACGGGGCCGATAGGGGCGGTGACGGGGCCTCTAGGGACGGCGACGGGGCCTCAAAGGGGCCGCGAGGGGCCTTGAAGGGCGGCAACGGGGCCGCTAGGGGCAATCACGGGGTCGTGAAGGGGCCGCGAGGGGCCTAGAGGGGCGGCGACGGGGCCGCAAAGGGGCCGCGAGGGGCCTAGAGGGGTGGCGATGGGGCCGTAAAGGACGGCGTCGGGGCCGCTAACGGTGGCGCGAGGGGCCGTAAGAAGCGATGTGAGGGCGGCCAATGGGGCGCGCCTCGAGCAGGGGCGACTCGCGCTCCGGTCAAGAAAAAAAGTTGATTTCAGTGGTGGGCCCTGAGAAGCGTTCCCACTAGGGAACCTGCTCTTTACCATGTGAAGAAATGAGGAATGAATGAAGTAGCAAGCAGGTGGGTAAAAGTAGGAAACCTAGAAATGTTGTACCCCATATTGTCTACCCCACTATAGTCTACACAGACTATAGCATATGAGTTTGACAGAGTGACCAGCATTGGCGCGAGGTTGAGTGCTGCCTCGCGAACACGCGTGAGACTGCCCTGGAGTTTGGCGGTGGACCAAATTCTCTCGAGCTGGTTGGCTACGTGGACGCCGACGACGTCGGTGACAAGCAGACGCAGACGAGAATGGGAGGCTACGTATCCGTCTACAGATGGGCCACCGTCTCCTGGTCGAGCCAGCATACCAAGTGCACAATGCCGTCGTCGACCGTGTCGGAGTACGTGCCGGCCACTGAAGCCGGAAGGAGGGACGCCGCCTTCGCTTCCTCTTCGCAGAGTTCCGGCAGCTAGATGCTAGGAAGCTGACCGTCCTTCGGGTGGACAACAAGTCAGCCATCACGGTCGCCGAAGGCATGGCGTTGTCAGGCAACCTCAAGCACATGGAGCGGCGTCAGGCCTGGCTGCAGCACATGGTGAAGCGCGGGAAGTTTTTGCTGAAGTACATCCCGACCGCTGATGGGCGCCGACTTCAGGGAGGTCAGCCTGGGAAGTCGACCTGTGGAGGGCGTTGACTTGGTGACTCCAACTTTGGGCACCCGACTTGGGTGGTCGGCTGACAGGACTGCTAGTCCACCTGGTGGTTGGTCAACCAGGCATGATGTCGACCTAGTGGTTGACCAAGCATGGTGGTCGACGGAGGAGGGGCCGACGTCGACCACGACAAGGGAGACTCAAGACGCCGAGGAGCTTGGCGTCGAGGAGTAGGGCGTCAACCTGGTGACGCCGACTTCGGGTAGCCGACATGGGTGGTCGGCTCACAACACATGGAGCTGGCCGACCAGGAATGACATCGACCTGGAGCTAGTCGACCAGGGGTGTGGTCGACCTGGTGAGGCCGACGGGAGTTGGCCGTTGACTTGGGAGGTCGACGGGCACATGCAGGAGCAGCTGGTCGACGTGGTTGCCCGGTCGACCAGGTTACCTGGGTGACGAGGTTCTGTGGGGGAGTGCGACGATCGCCCGAGCGATGTTGGCGAGACCGGCCTTGGTGGTGGTATCCCAAGGTCAATGTGGCAGATCAGGAGAAGTCATCAGCACGAGGAGGACTTGGTGTCTTCACTGTGCAGGTGATGAGGCACAGCATGCAAATCACGTGCGAGCACCTTCGAAGTAGGTGTGCTACTGTTCAGCGGGAGCAATGTTGGCACGTCGTCGACCTGCAGTATTGAGACGCCGTCAACTTTGCACTGCTGGAGCGCGGTCAACCAAGTCGTGCTGGAACGCGGTCGACCATGCTGCGCTGGCAGTCGACCGACCTGTATGCTAGCTCTCATGAAGTCTTTTCTTGCCAACCTGAATGCTAGCTCTAATGAAGTCTTGTCTTGCCAACCTGATTATACCATTGTTGTCAACCTTCTTTAGTGAAACTCTTGCCAATTCTCCCCGTGAACTAGCACGCTATGCGTGCACTAGGAAAACAACTATGGAACGAACGCAGAGATCACACAAGCACCCATGCCTAGCTCGTAGTCTAGCTCCCGTTGATCAAGTTATCTCCACAGCATGGACTCCCAAGCAGCTACAACTGACTCAAGCGGCTGCCGATGGCGCTGAGCACGCGGACGACGCTTAATGAGGACACATTGACCTCGTACATCTTGTAGGAAGAGGCGATGCAAGAGGCTGAGCGGTCCCAGGAGCTGCTTGCACAGGTGAACTACGTCGCCCCGGCGAAGCAGGGTGGTCGACCGGGGCAGCGTGGGCAGTGTGGCGGCAAGTAGAAGCCGACCAAGGACGCCGACAAGAAGAAGTCCTCCAAGGATAGCGGCCGTGGAGGAGGAAGTCGACGTCAGGAAAGCTGGCTGTGCGGCGACCCCGACCACCTCTCCTTCAAGTTCCTCGACCGCAGTGACTCCGACAACAATGATGCCATGGGAGGCCATGGGAGGTCTGTCAGCCGTCGTCCTCGTCGAGGAGGAAACAAGCTGCGCAAGGAGAAGCATTCGACCTCGTCGACCTCGGCGAAGGACGCCGACTCCTCTGCTGGCAGCAAGGGGCGAGATGATAAAGCGGCATCGTGCTCGCTGATTGGCGCCGTGGAGCCGACCGTCTCGCTGGCGCCGGAGGCTGGCGAGAACTACCAAGGGATGGCAGCAGCTCTGCATGCAAACCCGTCGGTGGTCCTGCTCAACAGTGGCTGCTTCCACCACCTGATGGGGACAAAGGAGGTCTTCATCGACGTGCAGCCAAGTGGCGACGTCAAGCACGTGCGCGGCTTCAATGGGGCGCTACAGGACGTCCATGGCCGCGGCACTATCTCTCTACAAGGGGAGGCCGTGAAGTAGGTGCTCATCCCCGACATGCTCTACATTCCGGGGGTGCGAGCGAACCTACTATCGGCCGGGCAGCTGAAGGAGACCTGTGTGAAGCTGCAAGAGGACGGCGATGGGATGTTGCTCGTCTCGGCGGCGGGAGAGGTGCTTGGTCAGGCAACGTAGACCGGGCGTGTCCTCTGCACCGACTTGCGTCCCTGCTCGGCGAAGTCGACAACGCCCACGACAAAGGTCGTGGCCCTGCGGGAGATTGTCTCGGCGACGAAGGCAACACCGAACAACCTACAGGCGAGGCCTGCGCACGTCGGCATGAACACCATCTGGAGTTCGGCGAAGCACGAGGTCGCCACCGGGCTGGACCTCAAGTCGGCATCTGGCGCCGACTCACTGTATGTTTCGTGCGTCGGTGGGAAGCTGGCGTCACACACCTTCCCCAATCAAGGCTCCGATGCCAAGGACGTGCTGGCCATCGTGCACAACGACTTGTGCAGGCCATTCTGCGAGGATGCCAAGGACGACAGCCTGTACTTCTTGCTGCTGAAGGACCGCAAGACTCGCTACGTGTGGGTGCGACCGGTCGCCAAGAAGTCAGAGCCTGTACATCTTGCTGCTGAAGGACCTGACCTGCTCGTACACCCCGTAGTAGAATGGCATGCTGGAGAGGGAGATGAGGACGGTGGTGGAGTCGGGGCGGACGATGCTGCTGCACATAGGCGTGCAGCACCACTGGTGGCACCTTGCTCTGCGGCAGGCCGTCTGGGTCCGCAACTGCCTCGAGAGGTCGATGCTGCCGCCGGGGACGACGCCGTACCAGCTGCTCACCTAGAAGATGTCTGACTTGTCGCTGGCGCGAGTGTGCGGCTGCATGGTACGGTTCTGGGTCCCCGAGCAGCAGCGTGGTGGGAAACTGAAGCCAAAGGCCATGTGGGACATTCATCTCAGCATGTCAGAGGAGAGCAAGGGCTGCGAACTCCTCGACATCACCACGTCGGACGTGTTGTTTCACAAGACGATGTCGCTGTAGGTGTGGAAGTCGGAGCACGGCTCGGCGTCGGCGAAGACGCCGGTCAACCCGCCAACGAACACTTCGACGGCGACGCTCCCTTTTCTCGCTGAGTTTGGTGAGCTTGCTGTTGCAGACGCCGAGGACGTCCACCCTTCCTCCCCCTCCCCTACACCTCCTACCCCTCTCCTTGTTGCCGACGTGCGTGGGCTAACCCCGACGTCGGCCTCCGGCGATCAGGGGAGAAGTTGGGCGTCAGTTGAGGCGCTAGCCCTAAGCATTGCCGGTGGCCGACGTGATACTTTGCAAGTCGGCGTAGGAGCAAAGGTAACGCTGGCCAAGGAGCAGCAGGTGGTGGAGGAGCAGCCAACTTTGGTGAAGCCGGCGAAGGAAGGGTCAGCAGCGCAGCAGCCGACAGAGGAGGAGGCAGCAGCAACGCCGACCAAGGAACAGTCGGCAACAGGGCAGTTGGCAGGGGAGCCGACTGCAGGGGAGAAGTCTGCTGGGACACCGACTGAGATGCAGCAGGTTGCTGAGGGCGGCGACTCCGGTAACGATGGAGGGGACGTCGAGGAGTTCTAGCCTGGACCACGACGTACTGGCCAACTTCGGAGGCCACCCGACTTCTACGTACGGGCTGCCTTCACCACGGCGTACAACGGGGTCGATGACGACTTGCTATACGACAACGCCGAGGAGGATGAGGAGCTGCCGGAGCTCGACCCCGACATGCACGCCGACCCCGAACACCGTTTGGACATCTCTACAATGTTGGTGAAGGAGGCGCTGGCGAGTTGGAAGGGCGAGGGGGTGAAAGCCGCCATGGAGGAGGAGACCCGCTGCCATGGGTGTTGTACATGTACCAGCCGGACCACTTCAACGATGGGACCGGCTGGGTGCGCAAGCTGCTAAAGAGCCTGTACGGGCTGAAGCAGTCGCCGGTGCTGTGGTACAAGGCGCTCAACGACATGCTGGTCGGCACTGGGTGGAAGAAGAGCCAAGTTGACGAGGCTATGTACTTCAAGGTCGACGAGGACGGAGTGGCCTGCTGGGTGCTGGTCTATGTCGACGACCTTTTCGCCGTCAGCAGCAGCACTGAGATGCTGAAGGGG